TGAGAAAGACTCTGAAAGAGCTAGGCTATCAAAGAAGAGTTGCAAGAAAGAATCCCTTGATTTCAGAGGTTAATAGGACTGGGCGAGAGAATTCGAGAGCAAAGATTATGAATTTTTACAGTCTGTAATTTGCTCAGATAAAAGTAAATTCTGCCAATATTCGGTTTGTTTGAAGAAATGAGAATGATGTTAGACATTTCCATGACGGTCGTCCTTGAGTATTGAATCTAGAGGTTAGCAGTGAATATTTCGGAGACAGTAGGAAAGCGTAGTGAAGGTTCGCAGTGGATATCACAGCAGAGTGTAGTTCATCCTTCTCCTGGTCGACTTTGGTCCTTCCGGTAGACGAAACAAGATGGCCGCCTTTATACACGATGAATACAGTGTTGGGCGGCTTCGGATTGGTCAACCTCCCATTGGTCGACTATAAAGGGAAATAAGTCATTCTGACTCGCTCACTAGTTACAGGCGTTAATATACCCAAAAAATCGTAACAAATGAGATATGGAACATTGAATGTCTGCAGGCGACCGTGAAGGGATTAGAGCAATGGTGTGGCGCGCTGTCTGGTTTGGAGGAAAAAAAGTTGATTCTTGATGACGAATGGTTGAATGGTCCAAAATACTGTTAAATATTAGAGAAAGGTTTACTCCCACTATTTGAAACCAATCAGATTGACAAAAATGTGTAACTTTTTCAAGAATGTGGAGCGCCATGTTATACGAGCAAAGTAGCAAAGGCCTGGAAGGAATTGCAAGGAATCAAGTCACTGCCATGGTTAGCCCAAATTCTTGACATGAATCCAATAAAGCACGTTTGGGAGCACTTTGACCGAAGACTTCGAGAGCGTGCAACCAAAATCACGTCAGTGGCAACCCTTAAAGAAGCATTGCTAAAGGAGTGGCAAAATATGGATCCAACGATTGTTGATAATCCATGAAAAATCGAATACAAGAACTGAAACTAGCAAATGGAGAACCTACTCCATACTAGTTCCAAATATTGTTTGTTTATGTTGAGTAGGGATTACGTAATTAAATTTTGAAATTGGATATAGTATATTTCTCCTGGCTAAAAACTTTTCTTAGGCCGCTGTATCTGGATGCATATTTCTGTGGAATACCAGGGTGCACCTAAACATTTCCCATGGTGCACCAGTGCCCCTAGGTGTACCATTTAAGAACCACTGGTCTAAAGAATTAAAGCGTTAGTTCCGGGACGAATGGTATCTCTTGGTTCTTCCAGTTCTAACCTTCATGGTTAGGTCCTGCCATGCCACTCACATTGTATTAAAGCACCCACATTCCCCCGTATTCCACTGGTGGGAAATAAGTTCTTCCCCCGCATCTTTGTTTTGTGGAACGGACTCTCACGTGGATGTTTCTCCGATAGCTACACTCTTAAATCTGTTCAAGATTCGTAACATAGTAATCACGAGTTCAATCTCTGAGACGGGTAGTTAAGACTTGAGACTCAGTGGAAACAGGGTGGGCGGGTCAATAACCACGCAGTACTAAAAAAGGAAAAGCATTCGATATCCGCTAGACATGGACAGCGTCTTAAATTGGATTAATGTGACAAATCCCAGTTTAATCAAGTCGTTGTAAGAGACAGTAGTAATAAAATAGGCTTGTTAATCAGTCGTAGAATTTCCCCTTGCTCTTAACCCAAAACTAGATGCATAAACTCTATGAGAACAGAATATATATATATATATATATATATATATATATATATATATATATATATATATATACACACACATATATATATATATATATATATATATATATATATATATATATGTGTGTGTGTGTTTTCATTAAATAATATAGACAAGTTATGTCTATTTATGCTAAGTTCCTTTCATATTGTCTGATAAGCTTAATCACATTATCGTTGAAATACGAAAGGAAAACACCATATTGATACATATTTAAATCCATTCTAAGCTTTCGGCTAAGGTATTCTATGGATAATTATAATTTTGGATATAAATGAGATTTAGGGAAAAACTCACTTATTTCTTGCAACTAGTAATCAATAGAAACATAACCGAACAGCTTTAAATAAAGAATAATAGAGGTATAATTTATTTATAATAGGTAATATAGTTCGAAATATTTAATAATCTATGGGTCCTCCTTTATTTTGAATAAACTTTTCAGCCCTTTTTGGCATTGGCTTGATTTGGTTCTGGCAAATCTCATCTCCTAGCATTGAATTCCATTCGGATATGAAATTCACAATCAAATCCTCTTTGTTGCTCAACTGCTTTCTCGAGAGCCTGTACTTTATAATGCTCCATAAGTTTTCTATAGGGTTGAGGTCAGGAGATTGGGGCGGCCATGTCATAACACTCACCAGCTTCTCATCAAAGTATTCCTTCATCAATTTTGATTTATGACAGGGAGCATTATCCTGCATAAAAATGAGCTTGGTGGGGTCGATTTGCACCCTTTCAGCAGAAGGGAGCAGACAAGACTCTAAAATTTTCTTGTACTGCTCGCTCCTGAGGATCTTTTCAATAGGTGTTAAGAAACCAGTTCCATGAAAAGAAAAGCATCCCCAGAACATTATACTGAACGGATGCTTGACAGTAGTTACTGCTAAATTCAAAGAGCTCTCAAAGCTCCTTCTTCAGATTTTAGATCGCTTGTCCTTTGAATTTAGCTCAACTTTCGTTTCATCGAAGAAGAGAACATTTAATAAAGAAAATCAAGTGAGTCACTTTTATCGAACAGCACTGTATTGTCATGTAGAGGGTTAGAATATTGCATAGCAGTTCAACACTCTCTCTTCGTTTCTAATGATGTTTTATCTATGAATATTTTGCTTCATTTTTGTAAGGCACATTTCGCGGTTTATCTTCTTTATCGGATTTCTGAGTCACATTTTCTAATGTCAGTGCCAAGCGACGCAGATAGGTAAGCTTACTATATGTAAAATCTCTATCATAACATAAGCAATCACTCCAATTCCCTAACGTATTAAGATCGATTCGCATTAGGCAACCATTGCATTGGCCTTATTCATAACTCAGTCAAGGCGTGACTTGTGAGAATTTCGTAATTGCCACTCGGGCTAAAGGGTGTTTGATCGCAGATATGAACCATAATTTACTAGGGTGGGTATCAAACTAGGAAGATTTTCATTATAGTCCAAAAGTTAATCAAAGGATTAATAAGTTTAATACCGTCTTTCGTTTAATTCACTCCTTCTGATAAGCGACGATGTTAGAACTATTTAACCGATTAGCGCATATTGTTCCATTTTTTAGAGAGGGGAATATCTACAATTTTAAACTAGGACTAGGACTACCATTAAGCAACATGGTAGATTAGACAAAAAGTTTTCATTTTTTTTAAAGAAAATCTAACCAGTAATTTATTAATTTCGCTCTTCTTCTTCTTCTTCTTCTTCTTCTTCTTCTTCTCCTCCTTCTTCTTCTTCTTCTTCTTCACCTCCCCCTCCTTCTTCTATTCATCTTCTACTTCTTCTTCTTCTTCATCTTCTTCACCTTCCCCTCCTTCTTGTATTCTCTCTTCTTCTTCTTCTTCTTCTTCTTCTTCTTCTTCTTCTTCTTCTATTCTTCTTCTTCTTCTTCTTCTTCACCTCCCCCTCCTTCTTCTATTCTTCTTCTTCTTCACCTCCCCCTCCTTCTTCTATTCTTCTTCTACTTCTTCTTCTTCTTCATCTTCTTCACCTTCCCCTCCTTCTTGTATTCTCTCTTCTTCTTCTTCTTCTTCTTCTTCTTCTTCTTCTTCCCCCTCTTCTTCTATTCTTCTTCTTCTTCTTCATCTTCTTCACCTTCCCCCACCTTCTTCTATTCTCTCTTCTTCTTCTTCTTCTTCTTCTTCTTCTATTCTTCCCTTCTTCTTCTTCCCTCCCCCCTTCTTCTTCTCTTCTTCTTCTTCTTCTTCTTCACCATCTTCTTCTTCTTCTTCACCTCCCCCTCCTTCTTCTATTCTTCTTCTATTTCTTCTTCTTCTTCATCTTCTTCACCTCCCCCTCCTTCTTGTATTCTCTCTTCTTCTTCTTCTATTCTTCTTCTTCTTCTTCTTCTCCTCCTCCTCCTCCTCCTTCGTCTTCTTCTTCTTCTTCTTCTCCTCCTCCTCCTTCGTCTTCTTCTTCTTCTTCTTCACCTCCTCCTCCTTCTTCTTCTTCTTTTCTTCTTCTTCTGCTCGTCCTCGTCCTCTCCCTCTTTCTCCACTTCCCCTCCTTCTTCTTCTCCTCCTCCTCCTAAAAGTCTAGGTACCATTTAATTTTATGCGATTCTTTGACGTCTAGAGGATACCTCCCAAACTTTTAGTCTGTTAGAAAAAAAATAAAGCAACTCATTCCTCCAGAACATATCTATTTTCCGCACTTTGGGTACCTCGGTGTCATGTGATGGCTTTCAAGCTTGTCTCGCTAGATCAGTTACGACTGAAAAGTGAGTTTGATCCTCACTAGGTTCTCCACACTTTCAGCTTTGTGCCACATCTAAGCTACGCTTGGAAAATCACTCTATCTGCCGCACTTCATTTTGACTTGAGCCGGACAAAGTTTATCGCCGCAAATGTTACCCGCAATAGATCGCGCCGGTTCATTAGAAAATTCAAAAAATATTCCTGCGAAATTTGGACAAGAATAACCCTTTGCTGATTCATCGTTGATGGCAACCCAAAATGTAGTAATGGAATTTATTTTGGCTGATGAACATTTTGGACTGGAGACAATTGCATAAAAAAAAAATCCATTGAATGGTTAGTGTAGGGTCCACAACGTTTATTTTAATCCTACCCTTGTAACTTGATGGTTGTAGCTGATGGTCTCATTTTGTGTCTGGATGTTATTTGGGGGAGAAATAAAGGAAGCAGTTAATTAAGGAATCGGGATAGTCAAAAAATGTCCAAGACCGAAGGTGACGAACATGGAAGAAACGGGAAATTAAAACCGAGTAAAAAGAAAAAAGAAAAAAAAGAAATAGAATCAAAGAGTAGGAGAGAGAAAAAATGTTAAATAGAGAGAAAAAGGAAAAGAGGAAGAAAGAAGTACAGGACGAATGGGGGAGGTGGAGAGAAAGTATGGAGGAATGGAGGGAGGAATAACAGAAAGGAATGAACGAGAGAAAATGAAAAGATAAATATCAGAGAAAAGGAGAAAAAAAAAGAATGAATTAAGAGAAGAAAAGAGAGGAATAGAGAAAAGGAGGAAGAAAAAGGTGGGGGAGAGAAGAAACGGAAGCAATGCGTAAGAAAAAGTAAGGAAGAAAGAATAAAAGAAAGAAAAAGAAAATAATGGGGAGGAGGAAATGAAAGAAGAAAGTAAGGAAGGAAATAAGGAAGAAAAGGAAAAGGGAAAGAAGAAAAGATGAAAGGTGATGAGGAAAGAAGGAGGAAAAGAAGGAAAGAAGAAAAGAGGAAAAGAAAATGGAAAAGACAGAAAGAAATCAGAAAGGAAAGAAAAAGAGGAAATGAAGGAAGAAGAGAAAAAAAGAGCATGAGAAAGAGAGAGAGAGGAGAATGGAGGAAGAAAGAGGGGAAGAAGGGAGGAAATGAAGGAACAAGAGAGGAAAGGAGAATGAGAGAAAGGAAATGAGGGAGGAAGAGAGGAAAGGATGATGAGGGAGAGGAAATTAGAGAGGAAGAGAGGAAAGGATGATGAGGGAGAGGAAATTAGAGAGGAAAGTAGGAAGATAGAGAGAGGGGAAAGAGGGAAGGGAGGGAGGAAATGAAGGAAGAAGAGAGGAAAGGAGAATGAGAGAGAGGAAATTTGGGAGGAAGAGAGGAAAGGATGATGAGGGAGAGGAAATTAGAGAAGAAGAGAGGATTGGAGGAAGATAGAGAGAGAGGGAGGGGGAGGAAATGAAGAAAGGAGAGAAAAGGAGAGAGAGAAATGGAAGAAAGGAGAGAAATGAAGGAAAAGAGCACGAGAATGAGAGAGGGAAATGAGGGAGGAAGAAAAAAGGATGAAGAGGAGAGGAAATTAGGAAGGAAGAGAGGAAAGGAGTACGATAGAGAGAGGGGAAAGAGGGAAGGGAGGGACGAAATGAAGAAAGGAGAGAGGAAAAGAGCACGAGAGAGAGAGAGGGGAATGGAGGAAGAAAAGAGGGAAGAAGGAGGATGAAGGAAGAAGAGAGGAAAGAGAGAGAGAGAGGAAGAGGGAGGAAGAGGATGATGAGGGAGAGGAAATTAGAGAGAAAGAGAGGAAAGGAGGACGATAGAGAGGGGAGAGAGAAGAGATGAAAGAAATGAAGGAAGGAGAGAGAAAAGGAGGATAAAAGGAAAGAGAAAGGGAGGGAGGGAGGGAGGGAGAAAGAAAGAGAAAAGCTGGAAGAAACTAGGAAAGAACAGATAAAAGGAGTATGGGAGAGAGAGTAAATTAGGGAGGAAGAGAGAGAGACGAAATGAGGGAGATAGTATCCTTTCATGACGTAGACGATCATGACTCTCCACAATTTCCTGTCTCTTGTAGCTCTTAATAAATTTCGTCTCTTTGTTATTTCTTGTAAATCTTGTTCCACTATCCAGATACTCAAGCCTATTCTTCTTCTATGTACCGTGTCCCTTCAGGACGTAGGCGATCATGGTTCTCCACAATTTCCTGTCCTTTGTAAGCAAGTTATACTTTGTTTTCCCCTATCCCTCATGCCTCCAATTTGTCCTTTGAATATCAGAAACAAGCAATTGCCAAGTGACTTCCTTTAAATATCGGTTCGAAAGACTCGACATTTATACGAATAAACACGGCTAACGGATTGCTCCGGATAAACCCAGTGATCTACTTTCCGTCATAAGTTCCGGGGGAAATTTGTTTCATGCTTTCTAATTCAATTGCCGACGTTATTATCAAAATGTTTGGGCAGGAGTCTTTTCGGATGAATAGATCAAAGTGAACAGGTAGACATCTTATGGGCCGGGCAGGGGGAAGCTACGGACGAGGATTTTGAGTGCAATTTTTCTTTTATTCCCGTCTATACTCGTCTGTTTTACTTTATTTTGATGAAATACTTTTAATACCGCATTTCTTCAAAATAAACAATTCTATTAACCAAAAATGATTTGGGTCGGCAGGAGAGATGTCTTTCTTTGTTTTTGTTTTCCTTCATGTGGATCAATTTCTCCATATTGAATGATTTGCTGAGGCCAAGACACGCATAAACTTCAGGGACGTGCTCGTCTTCATTTTTCATTCTCGTGGTTAAAATATGCTCGCAGTCATTTAATATATAAAGCTCAAATTTTGATTGTGTTTTCGCAAGAAACCCCCAAATTAATCATATATATATATATATATATATATATATATATATATATATATATATATATAAGCTTGATTGTCTCTTTGTATATGGGTATGAAAAATTACTAAAAGTTGAGAATTAAAACAAATACAGTTTGGCATGTACACCCACTCGAACTGAATATGGCACAAGGCCGGATTGAGCGCGGGTAACCCATATATGGTAATGGATATGATATTCGACGTTTCTTTACGGATAGCAAACTACTGCTACTTTTGGTTGAAACTTGTAAAATCGAAAAAGATTGTTTTAAATTTATAAAATTTAAAACGAATAGACTACTTTACCGGCCCCGGTAAAATAGACACCATGGCTATTTTAGCAGTCTCTGTAAAATAGAGACAAGGGTTATTTTTTCGCTAAATATAAATAATATTTTAGAACTAAGAATATATTACAGTAGAATCTCCCATATCCAGAATCTCTCATTTCCGGAATCCAGCATATCCGGAATCCCTCATATCCGGAGTGCCTCATATCCGGAATTTCCTGTCCTTTGTAGCTCTTTATAAATTTTGTCTTTTTGTTATTTCTTCTAAACCTTTTCCCACTATCCAGTTACTCAAGCCCATTCTTCTTCTCGTATGTGGCGTTTCCCTTCAGGACTGAGGTGATCACGGCCCTCCTTAATTTCCTGTTCTTTGCAGCTCTTAATAAATTTTGTCTCTTTGTTATTTCTTCTGAACCTTGTCCCACTATCCAGTTACTCAGAGAGTTGGAAAGCTGTGCAACATATTTATGGAGCCCTGAGATTATCAGTGCAGTAGTTGTGTGAGTTGTGTAAGCACGACTTGAACAATATGGATTCTGTGTTCTGTGACACTTGAAGTGTATTGACAAGAGAACCATGCTCAAGGGTAAATTTTGGATTCGCAGAGCCTGAAGTGATTAAAATATTCAGTGGCTTCTATATTTCTTTTAATAATTGACGACGAATAAATGATTTTAACTTGCGATTAAATAATTAATGGTGGAAAAAAAATTCTTAACAATTGAGGGTGAAAATAAAAAAAATATCTGAGCTAAACCTGTGTGTTGTTATTTTTAACATTATCTGTCTTCATAATAATAAAAATATTTACCGGCAAAATGGCTCGGCGTTCTATTTTACCGAGTTCGGTAAAATAAGCTGAAAAGCTTCTTTGTCTATTTTACCGGGACCGGCAAAATAGCCTCTTTCCATATAAAAAGATGTTTTTAATAAAAACTAAAACAGGTTTTTCAAGAAAATTAGTTTAAGTCCAGTAGCTGTTATGGATCTTTTCAGTACTTTTCTTCTTAACATTTGGTTTGAAATAGAGTGGTGCATCACTATCTTTCTTATTTCGTTAATTTCTCTTCGAGTTACGTGTGTTATACTTTTTAGTCTATGCTGCTGAAGGGAGACAACAGTTATTTTCCCTTGAGTTGGATGCATGGGAGTTCAGCACCTTTAGAGAGAAGAATTCTTCCTCTCTTTTTTCCAGGTATTGGTTTCACCAGTACCAATACTGGAGGATATTTCTCCCTCTTAAAGGAACACTTCCTCTTTCATTCTTATTGCAAGAACATTTCCTTTAATTTACGGTACACGGTGTGTACACGGTGTGTAGTTTTGTTTTCAGTAAATTTTATTCGTAAATCATGTGTAGGTTAATGAACCTGTCTAAGGAGGGGGTACTTGTAGGGAGAAAACAGTTGATTTTCCTTGGGTTGATCGCATGGGAGTTCAGCACCCCTAGAGAGGAGAATTTCTTTTTTGTTTCCGTTTTGGGGAGCAGTTAATACCTTCCTAACCACCAGGGTGTCAATACACGTGGAAAATGGACAACATGTACACAGCCTAGCGTAGAGAAAAAGTAATTTTAATTCGCCTTGGTATGGACGGTCTAAGGGCATAAGGATAATCTGTTTATTTCTTTGTTCGTTTTTCTGTTAAACATTCTCGTCCTTTGAACTGTGTAAACAATCATTTGTTTTGGGACATGTGTAATATATATATATATATATATATATATATATATATATATATATAAAAACATATATATATATACAGATATATTTATATATTAAGAAGACACGGTGGGGTAATGGCTTGGATTGTGGAATCGCAGAGCCGAGTTCGAATCCGGGTTGAATCCACTACATTCACTTACGTGCTAATACCCTTAGGAAAGGTGTGAATCCTATTCTTCTCCCTCCAGCTATGGGTTAAACAGCAGAACAGACTGGGTTCTATAGCCTTGGATGGCAACTGGTTTAGGAGAAGGACAACCCTGAATTCAAAACCTGAGGGGGTTGTTTGGGGACCTTGTGGCACGTAGTGCACCAGGTCTCTGTATTCGGCCCTTCAAAAAGTCTGGATGCTCCTGCACGAAGCCTTCACCACTATAACCAAATCTCATGTCGGGCTGTTGGTTTCCTGAAGACTGATCTGCTTGACCCTCATACGTCGAACCCGACGGGAGAATCGATTTTTTTAATATATTAAGAAATATAGTCTTAACATGTGCTATATTTATGGGATAAAGTGCTCAATATCAGAGATAGAGCGTGCGTAAATATAAAAGTAATCTAATTTTCTATGTTCTTATATATATATATATATATATATATATATATCATTGTGTAAATTAATTCAAACAACCGATTTAGTTTCTTTTCTTTTCCATACGGTCAGTTTTAGATCCACTGGGGTGATAGGTTGTAATCGAATTCGATTTTTTCCTCAGATTAAGTATTGTGTAATAATATGAATCTATTTTCGGGAGGGGGGTGTATGACGAAATTTGTTTGGCCTTGAGAAACACTGCGCTGTGATTGCATCAGATTTTTATCACGCCCAGGCACTATTGTCACGGATGTCGATTAGTTGTCCTACGGCCATTGTCTACAATGGACGTTACTCCAAGGAAGCGCACGAAAATTGTAATGCTACACAGACACACTGGAAAGCTTTACCAATGAGCAAATCAATGTACTATAGACTGCCTCCATAAATTCTCTGAATTTAATTCCAGTCGAGTATCTGTGGTCAATCTGCAAAGAAAGACTTCATGGAATGGATAAACGAAGTATTAACATGTCCACAGGCTCATGCTTAATTGGAAAAATACGAAAAAATATAATAACGGAATTATTCATTTTGTTTCAATTAATTTACACAACACACACACATATATATATATATATATATATATATATATATATATATATATA